GTCACTTGCTAATCGTCAGAACGAAATGACAGCACGCGATTCTCTACTTTGAAATTTTGCCAGTTTTAATTGCCGCCGTACATTTTTTCACACTGCTTTACCGACGCAGCAACGATTCTCGCGTCGTAAGCATTTCTAACCCCCTCTCGTTCGTTTCGTTAATTACGAAAAATTAATTCAATATATTCTTTTAATATTTCTTCAATATCCTTTATTGTCCTGAAACATTATTTTTTTCTTCGCTATCATTTCTTATCAGTCTAATTGAGCATTAACGAATTGCGCAATTACCTTGTCTAAGACCCGAATAACTCTGTTACCTCGAAGGGCCACTTGAAGTTCCCACATGTAGTTGTACGTCGTAGACTAGTTGGGTACCAGTGGGGAAACTATGGAGAAGGATGAAGAGAAGGAGTACAAGAAAGTCCCGCTAGAGGGACGAGTGCGCCAGACTACGGTGATTGCGATTTAACCCAGTCAAGTTTTCCTTCTCACCCGCCCTACGTATTCCCAGACGTTTCCAGCGCTCGTGTCCTTGCCAAACTTACTTTACTTACTTCGAGCAGTGCTGCGCATTCGAATAGAGCGTGTGTCTACTATTTTCCTTCGACTCCATCAGACACACGTGTCTGCCTCTGTTTACGTAACAAATTCCCTCGAAAATTGCAGGCAACAAAAACAGCAATCGAACGACACACGATACCCATAAAGCCAATACGATTGATCCAAGATCACTGAAAATTATAAAATTAAAATCGCGAGTGACGTCATTCAACTATCAACGGTGGATGCTTGATCTAGTTTTAAAGTTCTTCCAGAACCTGTGGAAAAATATGAGGGACCGCTCCACGGATACGCTTTTGATAATAGGAGCTCGGATATAGTTTCGTAACAAAGTTACACGAAGCGTCGGGGTGGGGATGCCCCGCGGCTGCGCTATTTATTCACAAGGTAAACTATTTGTTTTATGCAAATCGCGTTAAACCAACGTTAACCGTAGCAAAGGGGGGAGAGGGGGTCTGGATGGGTGGGAGTGGAGGGGGAAGAAGACGGCTCAACATTTTAAACGGCTCATCAGTCAGATCACTGCAATCTCGACTGGATCCAAGAAAGAAACGTGACGTAATTTCCAGGAATCAAGATTTCTCCTCTTGCACGTGTATCCCCCCCTTTCGCCCCTCGTCATCAACCACCCTCGTCGTCCACGTCAAAATTCTACCATCGCCAACCTCCTGCCTTCTCCTTCTTCAGCTGGTCCTGTGCTCTCGTGTACTTTCATCCGTTTTCATCTTCCTGACGCTGAGCTGATCGTCATCTGCTCGAGCAATCCTAATTGAAATAACTCGTCCTCGGCCGACGTTCCCAATGGCTTAACAATGTCGGCATTCCGCACTACCCTCTTGGCGAACTCAGGGCTCTAAGCCCAGCTACCGAATTGTCCGACTGTAATAATTCATGGCGAGGGTCTAATTAAATTCGGTTCCTCTAACGAGCTGTCGCGGGCCTCGAGGAGGCTGGAGGAAAGCTCGAGCTGGCTCCCGTTGTTAGCCTGCCCGACATTTCTCACGGTTTACCACAGCAAATCCACCAGGAGTACCAACCGCTCCTGGGTAGGAAAGTGCTGCTTCGAGTAAGGAGCTTTCCAATTGGACTTTCTCTACCGAATTGCAGTAGGTCCAGCCAGGTGACCTCCCGGCATCGTAGCAGTTGAAATTCGAAATTATTTAATTTTTAAAACTTTTTCCTTTTTATTCATACAATTTTACGAGATTACTCAGTAATTATTTTTTTTGGGTTACCAAACTGCGGGTAATTTTTGTATGGGCTCAATGTGATGCATTTTCTATCGTTGGTGCATTTAACTCGTGGTTTTACGTAGAAGGTAGTTTACTTGGAAAATCTTCAACAATGCCTACCCATTGTTGTCTCATTCGAATTACCCGCTCTTTACTCGCTGCGTTTTTTGTTTATAAGCACAGGAGTACATCGCTCGGCCTTGTTCCTTGGTAACGCGAGCCTTTAAATTGGACTTCATTTCGAAGGGTGCATTCAGTATATATTCGTGATTTGCTCGCTCGATCTTACGAAAAGGTTCCAGGTGGAACATTGCGGTATTTATATTCAAGATTGGTATGGAAAAATGAGGAAGAAAAGCCGAAAATTAGACGTAGGGTGTAGTCGGTAGGCAGGTTCATGCATATAAACGGTTTTTATATACCGTGGATGTGGGTCGCGTATCGACGCTGGGGCAGGCGTCGGCGTCGACCAGAACGCAAATTGCGAACGGACAGAGCGTGGAAGTACGTGTGCACCCTGACAAAAGCGACATAATTGGATTCCATTGAAACCGTGTTCCAGGCACATTTTTTGCACTGTCTATTCTTTTTTTCCTTGTCCAGCCCACGTGACACTTTCGACTGAATTTCCGCAATCCGAAACGTCAAATCGCGTCACCCCGCCACTCGTCTCCTCCGGGAGCGTTTCCTGTCCCATGCGTGGGCTTCGCTTTATTTTCCTTCAGAGTCAAAATTTTCGTCACCCTAAACGTCACTGCGAGACCGAAGCATGATTTCTTAAAGCGGGATATCGTCCATTAAATATTTACCATACAAATGCTTGCTGTGTCTCGCACCAAGTGAATTACAAATTTTTTGTATTTTTCTTTTCGCTTTATTTTCGTCCAGAGTCCAAATTTTCGTCACCCAAACGTCACTGCGAGACCGATTAACGAGCATGATTTCTCAAAGCGGGTTATCGTCCATTAAATATCTACCATATAAATGCTTGCTGTGTCTCGCACCAAGTGAATTAAAAATTTTTTCTACTTTTCTCTTCTCTTTATCGATCTTCTCACAATTTTCTCTACACAGACATCCCAGTCGTCTCTATAGAAGCTCGTGTCTAACGGTGCTAAAGGGAATCGCATAGTGCAAGACGTACTGGATGGATTCAGCATGGTCCAATTCCAAATTCCCATAGACGAAATTCCAGGAGCCATGCTGATTCCTGAAATTCCCAATCCGCACGAACCATCCGGATTAACCCGGAACATTCCAAGAGACCACTGATAAATAGTCGGTCATTACCAACCTGTCGAGCGTTTACCGCACACGGAATACGGGATTGTACAGCAGTCCATTCGCTGAGACTCCATTACGAAATCAATGCACCTCAAAAACAGCATCCCCAAGCCCCATTGGACGTGAGAGTTAATAAAATTTCTCTTAAAAAAAAATCGCCCCCCCCCCTCCAAAAAAAAGAGAGCGCGGGTTCAAAAATATACATATAAAAAAGAGACCATCCCAAAAATCTCTCAAGCACGACAACGTCGTCTCTCACGAAGAAGACCAAATTTGACATAACGCGCTGTCCCACCAGGAGATTTAACCCTGGTATCTTTGGTCGTGCACCAAGGGTGGGATAAAGGATAGGGATATATTATCTAACTACCGCTGACTTTAGCTAATTCTATTAGCTGCCGAGCCTTCCCCCGGGATTAATTTTGCGGCTTCTCTCGCAGTTAATTCTAATGGCTCTCGGCTCGTAGCCTCTCTCCTTCCCACCCCCTACCAGCGTCCCACTCGAACGACCCATCCTCTCCCTCTCTCTCTTACCCGCGAAAATATTTTTTACCACAAAATTAAGCTACCTTCGCTCTGGTAACGACCAAATGTTTTATGCCTTTCATCCATAATTCCCCTCGAGTCTCCTGCATGCCGTGTAAAAAGTCATTGCTGAAATAACGCAAAGGCAATGTAAAAAAAAGTCTCCTAAGGTACGTTCGTAGTTCGGAGCCCGAGCTGCGAAGTCACTCCAAGAGGGATTTGGTCGATTCATACGTCCCAGTGAAGCTCGCGAAGTGCCGGGCGAGCTTTTTCGTTCGTACACTCTGTGCGTGGGTAGTATGTATATATACCGGTAGAACAAAGCGGTCGCTTCGGAATAATTGGTTATCGATTTACAGGGAATCGGCCGGGTCTTGATAATCCTGGAGCGGACGTCCCTCTGGCTCGTGCGAGCTTTCAAAAGCGCAGACTGCTCATGGAGCGTCAGGATAGATAGGGAGCACAGTTACCGATGCGTCGCCACGTGCGTACCTGCCTATACGTTAAAGTCATACGAGAGCGGAGAGGCAGTCATCGACGCGTGTATACCCTTTATGTACATAAGTATATCTATATATATATACGCACAAGTATCGCTATCACGTGCGTACGAGGGTAGCAATGCCCGGAGCTCGTCGCAAGGGTTGGCATCGGGTTTATGAAAGCGTATTTCCCATTTGAAACCGGCGCCCGTTGGCGCGAGTCGTTGAACGACCGAGATAAATATTTAATCGAAGCGACGATCTACGCCGTGTACGAGCTTTAAAAGCGCACCAGCGGGCTTATTGCATTCCATAAAAATAAATGGATCGGGGTACGCTGATCGCATCGGCCGCCAGCTCGGACCAGACTCGTTGGTCGCTGTCCGGTGCTGGAGTTAACGAGTCGTGCCGCTCGAGGTTTATGTGGTGCGGAAGATAGAAAGATTCGGTTAAAAAATGGATGAATTAAAAGAAAAAGGGAGCTTCGCACCCTAGGATCTTCTTAGGTGGGAATCCTGTGTTGCGGGTTGGAATTTGGGTTTAAGAATTTTCGAAGGCTCTACCCTGTCCAGGTTTTGGGGAGATTCTGAGGTCTGACTCTGGCTGGGCTTAGATCATGATAATAATAACAGTTGGTACACTCTGGCTTTACGGTATGGTATCCCATCGACGGAAGTGGCAATGTTCATCCTGGATGATGGGATCCTTCTTGGTCATGCGTCTCCTGAGGGATACGAAGCTCGCGCGGAATTACCTGTCACCTAGGGGATTCCTTCCGGGCTTCGTAGCCTCTCTGCTCTTTACTATATATCCTGCTGAGCCTCTTCTTCTGAAAATATCTCTTCCACTTTCGCAACGGTAACCGCCGTTCCCAGTTTGTCCTCGACTAATACCGGTACTCTTGTTTGCGTAGGTCACCAGTGGCTCAAGACTAATTTGGACGTTACGCCTGAATCCGGCTGGGCCGTGGATCCCTTTGGGCACGGGGGAACCATTCCGTATTTTCTAAAGGCTTCCGGCGCTTCCGGTACAGTCATCCAGCGCATTCATTACGCCTGGAAGCAGTGGTTTGCCAAAAAGAGATACGGCGATTTCGTCTGGCGTCAGCCCTGGGATCAGAGTGGGTCGGGTGATATGCTAACGCACAATCAACCCTTTGATATCTATAATATCAAACATTCGTGCGGTCCGCATCCCCACGTCTGCTTGAACTTCGACTTCAGGAAGATACGCGGCGAGTACACGGAGTACTCCGTCAAGGCGATGGATATAACTGAGCACAACGTTAAGCAGCAGGCTGAACTCCTCCTGCAACAGTACTCGAGAACTGGTTCGCTCTTTCCTCACAACGTGGTGCTGATGCCTCTCGGGGATGACTTCAGATACGATCACGCCATTGAGTGGGATCAGCAGTACACGAACTACAAGATCCTCTTGGACTACATAAACAGCAGGAAGGAGGAGTACAATGCTGAGGTTGCATTTGGTACGCCGAAGGATTATTTTCGTGAGGTAGAAAAACGCGTAGAGAAGTTTCCCACGCTGAAGGGCGACTTCTTCGTCTATTCCGACATCTTCAGCGAGGGCAGACCGGCCTACTGGAGTGGATACTTCACCACCAGGCCGTACATGAAGATCCTGGACAGGGAGCTCGAGGCCAATCTCAGATCAGCTGAAATTCTTTACAGCATAGCGTTAAACGTCGCTAAGCAGTCCAACATGGATATTAAATTATACGAGACGTACTTTGAGAAGCTGGTAAAGGCCAGGAGGAACCTGGGTCTGTTTCAGCATCACGACGCAATCACGGGAACCTCGAAGGCCTTCGTCATGAAGGATTACGCTTTGAAGCTTTTCGAATCCATTTCCGACATGACGAGTCTTCAGAGCTTTGCCATTCAGTCCTTGGCAGCTACCACAGCCAAGTCGAATTCGGTCTACGTTCTTCCAGAGTCCGACAGGGACAGCTACGAGAAGCTCCCGAAAAAAATTCCGATATCTGTCAGCCCGCAGGAGACTAAGAAGATCGTCCTCTTCAATCCACTTGCTCAGCCTCGCCAGGAAGTAATATCCCTGAAGGTGACCACGTACAAGATCCGGGTACTGGATCCGCAGAAGAGTCCCATACCCTATCAGATAATTCCGGTTATGAACGCCACCAGCATCACCCACGAGGTCTACGTGATCCTCTTCATCGCTGAGCTTAAGCCCCTCTCGATAGCCACTTACCATCTTCAGTACGTTGAGAAGGTGCCGAGCGAGGCCATTTCCACGGTTTACTGCAGCAGATGTGGCAAGGACACCCTCTTCCCGATAAAGCCAATGCAGATCGGCGACGTGCAGCTGGAGAGCCACAGGATGAAGCTCCTCTTCGACGGCCAGACGGGGTTTCTGAAGAGAGTGACGAAGAAGTCATCAGGAAAGATCATGCAGTGCGCTATACAGTTCGCGGCCTACCCCTCGGCACAGTTTCACAGTGGAGCATACCTCTTCATGCCGGATCCCAATCTGCGTGACAACGACAAGGACGTCCTTGAGGTCTACACGCCCCACCAGAAGATCTACATCATCTCCGGGCCACTCAGCTCCAGGCTGACTGTCGAGTATGGTCGCTTGCTTACGCACCACGTGGCCATCTATCACGCCGAAGGTGGCCTTGCCGAAGCCATCTACCTCAGGAACATCGTGGACTTTGAGACCCCGCCGAAGAACCGCGAGACCGAGATGTTCATGAGGGTCCAAACGGACATCCTCAACGGGGAACCCCCGGAATTCTATACCGACCTGAACGGACATCAGATGATCAAGCGGACCAAGATCGAGAGGATTGGCATAGAGGGTAATTACTTTCCCATAACAACGATGGCCTACATCGAGGATCCGAATCAGAGGTTGACCCTGATGGTGAACCACGGCCAGGGTGCTGCCAGTTATCAGCCAGGCTGGCTGGAGGTGATGCTGGACAGAAGAACCTTGTACGATGACTCCAGAGGGATGGGCGAGGGCCTCCTGGACAATCGTAAAACGGTCATGAAGCACTGGCTCCTCCTGGAGGACGTTGGCTCCATCCGGGACCAATACTCAAAACCATCCCTGTTCGCTAATCATTTGAGCAACGCATTAAACTATCCAGTTAACATATTCGTAGTTGACGGCACGGAGTCCGAAGTGAAGTTGTCACCGGAAGTTCGGTTACTTACTCAGAGCTTCCCCTGCGACCTTCACCTTCTCAATCTCAGGACCAATCACGATCAGAAGCTTCCTCAGTTGCCTGTCAATAGCGCCCTGATGGTCTTGCACAGGCAAGGCTACAGCTGCGCTGTAGGTGCTGACACTGTCCTGAAGCATTGTCCGATCAGTGATCACATAGTCCAGGGTACGTCGTTCTTCAGACTCAGCCCGAACGTCACGAAGATGTCCTTGACGGGAACCAGGAGTCAGAAGCAGCTCAAGGACGGTCTTCAGGACGTCAGTCTTCTGCCAATGGAAGTTCAAACTTACAGCGTCAACTTTGTGCAGTGATTAGGACACGATCAGTCTCAAGACGCTTGAAACGATGACGGAGTCCGGCTGTCACGTATCGGCGGTTCGATTAACGATCGAACCATTCCCTCTGCTTTAGGAAATTGATTTTAATCAAACTCGAATGTCCACGAACTCTGCTGAGATTCTTGCCGTGTTGCGCCAATGGTCTCGGGGGTCGACTTACGCAGGTAAATTCCTCCCCCCCCCCCCCCCC